GATGTTTACCCACAGGTAATCTGTTGATTTTACATTAATCATGCGCCACTGTGGGTAATAGGGAGGAGCAAGTTATGTGACAGTTTTACAATCTACTGGTCGTTGAGTTGAAAACAATTCACACCTACCTGTGTTTCCAGCTCTCAAATAAATTTTATTGTACCACAGTTATTTAGAAAAAAATTACATTTTTGTTCAAATAACTTGAAATGGCTGTAACTCTTTAACTCCCAAGATCGACCCCGTTGATAACAGTACTTGGTACTGAAGGGCTATCCTGGATAAATATTCAATTATTATTATTATTATTATTGATATTATTATTAGTAAGTCTCCTTACTAATAATGATAATAATAGAACTCTTATGATGTCAGTTCTGAGATTTTGGTATTGGATCAACTTATGAATTCCCTATTAATTGACATTTTCTTTATTCCCATCTCTTTTCTCCTTGATATTGTGCTGATATTTTTTAGGAGAAATTCATTCTTGATCAATCATGGGAGTTAAAGGGTGAAGAAGGAAAAAGTTATCCAATCAAAAGAAAATCAAGCTTTGTACAAAAACTGTTGTGGGCTGAGATTCATAAACAATGATAAAAATGATGAGGTCATATTCAATAACTATAGGTTAAAGCACCTTTGTATCCATTACATCTTATTGCTTAATGATTACAAGAAATCTTCACCTTGTAGTTGTAGCCTCATTTTACAAATAATCCTTTGTCATGTTCGAAATTATTTAACCTCAACTATTTAAGTTATGAAAAGTAGCACAGGAACCTATAATCAGCAACAAAATTGTTGACATACTGACCTTTTCAACCTCTTATTTATTCAATTTTTATCTCTTTTGCCATTGTTAAGTTAACTTTTTCACTCTCTTCCCCCCCAAAACAATGTTGTATCATGATTCTATGAACTTAAACCTGCAAACAGGCAACTTTGAGTGGGAGAGGGGGTCCTGTCAATGATTTAGAGTGTGGTAGCTAGAAAGAGTGAAAGGTAAAAGTCTCTATTTCTCTAAACAACATATGTGTTTAGTTACAATTTTAAGGTTGAAATCAGACAGGCGCCTCTGGCAGCCGTGTTTAGTCCGTAGCAATTTCACCTACCCACCCAACCCAACCCAGGGAGGACATCCATCACACAGTAATCTCGTGCGTGGGAAATTAACGTCTCCTACCCCAACCCTGCAGGAGACGGGACCTCCATTTGTTTGTCCCTATCCGAGAAGACTAGAATATCTAACCATTTCTTGATGTTAAAGAAAGGAAGCATATTCTTAGATCAATTAATTTTAAGACCCTGAGTGTTGGTCCGGCCAGTATTGAACTCTCGACCTCCCGCACGGCAGTCCGGCGCTCTCCCAGTTATGTGTAGATTACCGTGACTCTACACATAAACAGAACTCTTCAAACATAATGCGTTAACTAATTTTGATGCTGACTGTACAAGTCTAGATAGAATTTCTTTTTTCAGAGTTTGATGTAAACAGCTAACACACATTGTTACTGTCTAATTGATATTAATTTTACTTCTTAAACTGATGCTTCTACTGACAACTAAAAAATTGTTTGTTTACCAGGAGCTTGCTGGTGTACTTCCAAGAAACAAACAGTTTTCACCATTATGACTCACATAGTTCATTTAATACTTCAGCTGCTAGATCACTTGCACAAAATGTGGAACCTTTCTTACACTGTAAATGTGAGTGTTATTTTGATCACTCTAGCCTACATTCCACTCTATGTTAATTTTTTAATATTTTCCCTTCCCACATATGAACATTATTCCTGTTTTTTTGTTTTGTTTTTTTATTTTAATTTACACAGCAGGACAAAACCCATGCTTCATGGAGGACAGATGCCCACAACAACAAAACGGTTGTGTTTTTATTTATCACCTTATTTCATTTAGCTTCTGAACAGTTTAGAGTAAACAATTACTTATGACTTCAATACCTGTAAATTGGACTCTCCCCATGATGTAAAATGCATTTTTATGCAGTCAAACCTTTATTAATGGCCATCTGTTTGCTACCCTTTTTTTTTCCACTGATTGTCCAAGTATTTAGAGCAACCTCTCTACAGGATGCTAAACACTTGGCAACCCTGCAAGATTTCCAGTGTGTGGTGTAACAATGAGTTTAGGTTAAAAACAGCTCCATTTTAATGCTTTAGCTGACTGCTAGATTACAAGTTATGCCCGTAGGCATAACTTACTGAGCTGAAAGCTCTCTGCACATGGAGCTGATCACAATGTAGATGCAATACAGAAAATAATGACTACCAAGTAGTTAAGGAGCAGCTTAGTCAAATGAGAATGAAATTGCAAGCCTCAAGGAATCTATCAACAACGTTGAGGCAGCAATCAAACGAAACCACCATGGTGGCTGTCAAGAAAATAGAGGCGGTCCTACTAGTGTGGACCAAACAGTCAATCAATGTCAAGGAGAATGATCTCCAATTTTACAGCCACCAGTATGACGACCTTACAAACTTCTGCCATGAAGCCAGGAACAAGTTACATCCAATCAAACAAAGCAGCAAACATATGCACATGCACATGAACTAATAACAATGAACACGCCACTGATAATCTAGCAATAGTACCAGCCTGCATACTTCTAACAGTATTTTGTCGCACATGATACCCTGTTATACATCTGTGTGCAGAGAACCCACAATGACCTGATAATCTCTAAGCAATTGTGTCTCCCACTTTTAACCCTTCAACTCCTACAAGTGACCAAGACAGAATTTCTCCTTACACGGTTTTCAAATTTAGTTGGCACCCAGTGCAAGTCACTGGCTACTTCAAGGATTTGCACCAGGTGATTTTCATATTCCAGCACCCCACTCCACAAGGCGGCCATTATCGCAATGAGATAGTGCTACAGCTACTTTTTTTCAATTTGAAAACCCTGCCATTACAATATCAATACAATGCTAAGTAGACAAGAAATGAGAACAAATAAAAACATCACTTAGGGATTACTAGTTGATCCAACACCAAATTCTCCAAAATATAATCGTGAGAATTGCCTGGCAGACAGTAAGGAGAATTATTAATGAGATCTTGGGAGTGAAGGGGTTGATCCTTTGCTCTCCAAGATCAGTTTGCATTTTCTCTATACTGCTTTCTATACATTTCATATGGAACTGACAGCAAGAATTAACAATCCAGAACTTTTTCTTCTTTGGCAGTCTTTTCTTTTGTTCTCCTGACCTTGTTTGATGTAGAGGTAATATTTAATCAAGAAATTAGATCCAAGTCAGTCTTGGAAATTACATAAAGGGGTTTTGAAACTGTCTAATGAGGCTTCATTTTTTTTCAACAGGTTATGACTGTGGTGTATATGTGGTCTGTGTCACTGAACAACTCTGCAACAATTTTATGAACAATTCGAAAATGTCTCTGGATGATAACTTAACTCCAGAAGACATAAGGAAGAAAAGAAAATCATTGAAGGATCTTGTACTTGGTCTGGGAGAGAAGAAAACATGATGCAGAAATTGATGGCAACAACACTAAGCTTTCAAATGAAACTATTTTGGTTCATTGTAATAGTAAAATACTACCCACAAAACAGAAATCACCTCTGGAAAAAATAGAACAAACAATTTAAAATACAGATAGTGGAGGTCATCCAGTAACACTAACTTTGGATTTTTCAAGATTCCTTCAAGTGGAGTTTGCATCAAGTTGGCTCACCATCATATCTCAAATTTACTTTGCCAGTCATTTTTCATGGCAATTTTGAGTTAGCAGGCCTTTTGGGTTGGGGAAGGGGAGGTTAGGTGATTGGTTTTTAGGGGGAGGGGTGCTGTAACAACTTGTTAAAGCCCTGACCCTGTTTGAAATCAAGAGCATCAGAGAATGTAGATATTTTGCTATGGGAATGTAAGCACGTAAACCTCTATGGTGTTTGTTTTATGGCATATATAAGGTCTGACATTTGTAATGTTTCATCTCAAGAACTTCCCAAGATTTATGTTAAATTTTTTTATTGCATTCAAATTAGGCTGTTTTACTTCTAACCCTTAGAGACTGGTGCACCAGCATTTGGATCAGGAATATGTTTTAATTTTTCTTACTGGGTTTTTGGGTTTTCGTACCGGGTGGCAGCAGAAAAATTTTCTTATCCTGAGAGGTGATTCAGTCAGTACTATTTGTTTACTGTTCTGTGTACTTTTGTTGGACAGCGTTAAACATTCAGGCTCCTTATTCGAGCTGCCTAACCACTCTTAACAACGAGTTGTGAATTAAATAGCAATAAGTACCCTGTGAGGGACAAAACCCTTTAATAATTTAACTCTGTTTAAGGTCTAGTTAGAAAAATTTCAATTTTAATTAGTAACAGTGGTAATGAATACCTAGATATATATAATTTGTGATTCACACTTTCTGAAATGTTCTGATTTCCAATTTCATTTTGCCTAAGACAAGCTATAGTATACAGTTTCTATGAATTTTCATGTAAAAAAATATACCGGTACCTTGTCTAAAGGTAGAAGTATAGAATACATACTCTGTCACTCCCAGATCTCATTAGTAATTCTTCATGCTGTCTTATACAATTTCTATGATCTTGGTTGGGAGAATTTGGTATTGATCATGAGTCACCTGATAATCCATAAACTGATATTTTTTTTTGCTTTCTCTTATCTGCTTGATATTTTGAGGAGAAATTCTGTCTTAGCCACTAATGGGTGTTAAGTGTCAAGGAACTTGTCTAGGATACTAGCCCCTTTCCCAGGATTCCAACGCTCTTTTCCTATTCTAGTATAACTGAATATAAATCTTAGCAGCGGATCTGTCAATTCCATCTAAGTGCTTGACCTGGAAGTTTATCTCTAGGAGGATGACTTGGAGGCTGACACTTTGATTTGATTTTCTGATTGAAACATTGAGCTGACAGACAGTTGTGCGGTTAGTTTCGTTGAGAAAAAATTGTGGAAAGAATTCAAGCGGTATAAACTGTTAATGAGCAAGAATTCACGTCATCACAAAACGAACTGATTAATGATGAATTTAACTCTCAAAGAATGGAGATATTTGTCTCAGCAACGAAGAGGAAAAGGCCTTGCTTCTGCCTTTTTAAAATGTGACGCATTTTCTCACGGTAATGCCTCAATTTCCTGTTTAAAAAAAAAAATGGTAAAAATATCAAATAAACAAAACGCAGTCTGATTTCCGGACGGTGCAAGGAAAATTATGGAAAAATGAAGAGAAGCTGGGTACTAGAATTCACACCTCCGGTTTTTATCCCGTTCACTTCCGGTGACACTTCGAGTCACGTGAAGTCAGTTAGAATGGCGTACTTCGGGTAGGGTTAGGCATATCTGTAGGCGAATATAGTTTTTGACAATGACAGAACTACTTTTCAAGGTGATCATAATAGGCGATGCAACTGTAGGGAAAACAAGCTTTGTCAAACGTTACGTGAATAACCATCCAGGACGAGACTACAAACCAACTGTAGGAGGTATGTTGTGCATGATTAAGTTAAATATTTTTCTGGGAAATTATGTTGTGATTCCAGAAATGCGCCATGCCAGTTTTATAAGTTTTCTATGAGAATATTCTTTGATAGCTTCAAAGTACGATTTTCTTACCCTCTTTTCTTGTACTAGAATAAAGACTTGAGTCGGTCAGCGCAGAGCAAACGATTTAAGTTTTGGATTTGACATTTGACATCTTTAATTGACTTAAAATACTCCCCTCGCTCGCGTTTCTTTGGGATAGCTTGTATTTGTTTGCGTCTATTTTGCGTTTTGTTTTGCCGATTACACTTCAATTTTTCCTTAAAGGAGCAGCTATCTTGGCTTTTGTTAAACCCTCCTTAGAGTCTTAAAACATCCTCAGTAATGTTAGTTAGACCATAGTTAGTAGAGGGGACTTTAGACTGCTGTATGCCCCTAGTTCTTTCATAATTTCATTAATTTGATGTCAACATAGTTTAGTATAAGTGATAGAGGTTGTCCTCCACTTGCCTCTATTCCCCCCTCCTTCCCTAGGAGGAAGGGGGCAAGTTTCCAGAGAAACTGTGGTGCTGCAGTGGTGGAGTTATTTACAAGATAATTTATCTTCATTAACTGAGTTGATTGGGTAAAATGGCCTCTGGAGAGAGATTCTACACATGATATTTTGAGGGATAGCTTTTTGTCAGATTGAATTGCTCTGATAAAGGGCTAGCCCTCCAAACATCAGCTTTAGGGTCTGCTCCCAAGGACGGCCTAATTTGTTGTTTCTTGGTACACACAACTTTGTCTGGGATGGGGAGGGGGTCATGTTCTATAAGTAATAATGCATGGAGCTATGACAGGAAAGGTGCAGATTTTTCAGACTAGAGGTGAAGTAAAGCTTCTGTCAGAGGCACAGTGGCCTTAACTGGTCAGTGCACAGGACTCAAGGTTGAGAGATCTTGGTTTTGTTTTTGGGGTAGACACTTTACTCTCACAGTACCAATAAAGGGCATTGCCTTTTTATGGGTTCTTGTGTCTCGTTCCCACCAACCCTATTGGGCCTACCACTTCTGTCAGTCACACCCAATCAAGCTGCTAGAGATAAAAAAAAAAAAGCGGTCAGAATTTTTCCAGTTGAGCCATTGAGGTTATGGAAAACATCAGTTGGTGTTTGGGATGGTCTCATGCAACAGTACAATTTTTTTTTTTTTTTTTACCGAGATGCTTCACATGTGTCTTAACCCATTAATGGCGGCAGCTTTTGTGGAAAACTGTGTTTTGAAGGTAGTCGAGCAGATTTCGGGTCACTGTTGTGGTTTTAAAAGCTCAAACTTACCAAAAACCCCTTGACAGCTTGTGCACACGACGGCCTCTCGATCCAAATGCAAAATGGTGGCCTGAAAATCTTGGGCACGCGCAGAGAGCAAAATTTCGACATAGTTTTTGGGTTGAAAAGTCATGCCCCACTTACGACTTTTACTTTTCTCTCTTTCTCCTGCCCTTTTTTTCCCCTCTCCTTGCCTGAAGTTTCTCCTCACTTGCTGGAAATTGAGTAGGCTTCACTTTGGTGTAGAGATTTTTCACAAACTACTCATTATTTTCAAAGCACATGCTCGGAAAGGTAGGTGGGTAGTGAAACACGATTTTCGTGCAGATTTTCAGGTCAAAGTGACATGGTTTTTTGGCTATTTCTCCAATCTCCTTCCCTCAATTGCACTCATTCTGGTATCGTCTGTAAGATATTTTCAACCTGTTCAAGTACGTGCTCAAATTCGTGCTCCAGGGTTAAAAGTGATGACGTCACAAGGCGTAGAAAGGGTGTGGGTCCCCATGGGCGCATACGGGCGCACTGGACGTCAATGGGTTAATATCCTATGTCGCACTCTGTATAAATAGTGTCAGAAACACATTGTTTCTTGTCATACAATGTGAAAGGGGCACCTTTTTGCTTGTAAACAGAGTATCCCTGCAGCAAACATTACTTGTTACCCACCCCCAAGGCAAATCTGAGATATTTACAAAACATTGTTATGTCCTTGTATCTTGTTGGCAGTTGATTTTGCTTTGAAAGTTATCAAATATTCGGATGATACCACAATACGACTTCAGGTGTGTAATCAGTGAAACTTGTGTCAAGTTAAGTATTTTCAAGTAAGCCATAAATTATCCATCCAATAATTTCTTAATTATTTATGATTTTAGTAAGGATGGTTTTATAACACAATCTTTTGATTTTTTGACTATAAGCTTTCCCTCCTCTTTGGTAAAGTCCATCACTCAAAACCTAAAAAAATTAGTGCAAAAGAAAAATTGTGATTGGCATGCTGCATGTAGCTCAGGCACAGTGCACCCATGTATGGTTTTGCTGATTTTTTTTTTTTGACTCACAGTCAGACAGACTTTGCTGAAAAGGAAGCACTATTTGTATTCTATTAACTTTTTGAAAGTACATTCTAAGCAACATTTTTTTTGTTCAACATTAATTTTCCTTTCCTTTTTGTTTAAAAAATGTGAACAATTTATGAATGTGAATCCTATGGTTGTACAGTTATGGGATATTGCTGGTAAGTCGAGGAACAATTTTAACATTATTACTTGAGTAAAGTATACTTTTGTAAAGTATATAATTAACTTTACCCTCTTACTCCCAAGATTTAATAATCAATTTTACATTGGCCATACATTGCCTAAAATTTCAGCAATGACAATTTAGAGTTACTGGTAAATCGAATAGCATTCCTTAGTTGTTAATTTATTTTCTGCTCATTACCACACTCTCTGTTTGAAATTGTATTTGATGTTGTAAGGAGAGATTCCTTTTTAGTCACCCCTGGGAGGGAAAGGTTCGAAGGCAGGGTCACACTGGCTGGAGCTCAATTTCCTGAACTTTTCTTGGTCTGTATAGTGTTGAATGAGTGATTCAAGGATACAACAACCTTTTCATGGCTGATTGCAATCTGTAAGGGAAGGACCTTTCACCATCTCACTTCTTACCTCTCATCCCATGTCCTTTCACGCCTCCCCCCCATGAGTCAACCTTTACACCTCAGCCCTGCCCCAGTCCCCTATCTTCACCTGTTAGTCATGCAGACTGGTAGGAACTTCCATGTTAAAAACCAGCATCTGTTAATTGTCATTTGACATTAAATGTTGACCCTTTACACCCTAACAACAGTATGCATATTCTCAATACTGTTCTCTATACATTTGCTAAGGTGCTGACAAGGGGATTTTGTTTAACAATCAAGCTTCTTTAGTTAGTGATGATTTCCTTTATTCTCCTAACCTTCATGTGTGATTCAGGGGTGATATTGTAAGGAGAAATTAGATGCTTAAGTCACGATCAGGGGTCACAAACTTGAGAACTAATTTTTACTCTGTCTTAATGAGCATCAATTATTTTCAGGTCAGGAAAGGTTTTCAACGATGACAAGAGTCTACTATAAGGGAGCTGCGGCTTGTGTCATAATGTTTGATCTGACAAGTCAACAGACATTTAATAGTACAATAAAGTGGAAGAGAGACTTGGATAGCAAATGTACACTTCCTGATGGAAAGACAATCCCATGTATATTAGTAGGGAACAAAGTGAGTTATATGGCAATCAGCACAATCAGTTTAAGAAATAGATCATATTTTGTGGGGTTTAGCGGTGAGGTAAGGACAAAGAATGGGCTAATGAGGCATGGGTGATTGTATTGCAGATGTTATGTTATTTACTGTTTAACAAATCAAGAGGGGTTTAAATGTTGTGGACTCGTGAGGGGCAGCTGAGTGAGTCTGCAATAAATTTGACCACTGTGATGACAAATATCATTTTCAATGAGAGTACAGATGGTGCCAAACCACTGTCAATATGTTTTTTACCACGGTATCAATGTCAAATAAAACCATTCTTTTAGTGCATGACACATTGCATTAAATGTTGATGTAAGCAGTGTTGTTGGTACTCTTATCGGCAACAGTAAATTGACCAATCAGATTGCGACATTATTGCCAGTTGTGGTGAAAACTATGATATCATGGTGGCATTAAATTTTATCCATTTGTAATATTTGTCTTTCCTTAGGTCTGATGTGAAAGCTCAATAACTGACTCCATCAAAATTTAAAAATATGGTGGTTCATGCTTTCAGTAGACTTCTCTTTTGTTGAATTCTGGTCAAATTTTATTACTTTTCTTTTCATTGAATGTTCAGAGTGACTTATCAAGTACAAGGCCCATTGAGAAAGAAGCAATTGACAAGTTATGCAGAGAAAATGGCTTCTTGGGTTGGACAGAGATGTCAGTCAAAGAAGATGTCAATGTATCGGAGACAATGGAGTAAGAAACATGTTGCCTTTTCTATTTTTTTTTTCTTGTTCTGTGTTAAAAATCATCTTGCATACACAATATTTCTTGGCTTGGAGGCTTCATAGACAAACCATTAAGCTGTTGTGTGTGTAGGAAAGTGGAAGCAGGGAGGTTTTTGATCCTGTTTCGGGCATGAATTTTAAAAAAAAAAATTGTACGTCCGACTTACTTTTTCTTTAAACAGCAATTTATAGGTTAAGGAATTAAAGGGAACACTTGCAATCTCACCTTACTTGAAATTTAACGTATTACGGTTTAATTTTGGGCTCAATCTGACATCACAGGGGCATAGCCAGGATTTTACTAAGGGAAGAAGGGGGTCACACTGTGTCAAACAGCGGGTATTCACCAGATTATTATGTGGACTACCATGTCATGTTTTATTGTGACAAAAAAAGGCTCACAAGAAGGGGGGGTCACAAACACCCCACGACCTGCCCTAGCTATGCCCTTTCATTGCCCAGAAACCTTACATCACCTTCCTCTCACTGCACAAGAGAATGATGTTTTGAGGAGATGTTATATGTTGTCACTTCAGATAAAATGTAGTAAGGGACCCATCACATTACTATTTATTTCCACCTGAATTATTTTCTTAGATACTTATTAACAGAATTGTTGGACTGCTACAAAGACAATGAAGAAAAAGTTGCACCGAAGAACACCAGTACTGATCAAGGAGGATTTATTGAACTCACAAGTCACAAGACTGCTAAAGAAAACACCAGCAGATCAGGATGTTGTTCATAACTCACAAAAAATAGAAGAACTGATCAAGATTTCTGTGTTTAATTTTCTTTAACCTTCAACTCTGAGAATGTGATTGTTAACTCTCCCCTTCAGGTGCTGCACATTTCGTGGTAAATGAGTTACGAGAATTTGGTGTTAGATCAAGATAACTTTTGCAGGATAAGTTCCAGTATTCTCATAACTTGTTTGCCAGATAATTTATTGAAATTATAGGGTAGAAGTTACATATTAATCACTTCTAGGAGTTCAAGGGTTTACTAGTGAGAATGCATTAATCTCTCATGGTACCATGTGGGAGAATTTCATAATATATCAAGGGTAGTGTGACTGTAAAGTGTTATAGCAGGCAGATTTTTTCAAAAGTGAGTGCTTAATTTTCAGATCAAGTGTTGAAGCTACTATATTGGATTTTCAAAAATGAGAAATCATGGAATGAGTAAAAAAGCCTACTTGGACAAGGGGAGGGAGTGTATTAGTAAAAGATAATGGGGTCCCACTCCCCCACTGGGTTTTGCCCCAGGCCTTCCTCCTTCTGCCCAACCCGTTAACACTCAATTTGAGTGTATCTACACCAAGGGGTCCTAGGTTATAATGCTTATGTGTGGTTATCATGCAACCATTTGAATTCTATTTTTGTTACGGCAAAAAAAGTTGGAAAGGGTAGGAAATTAATTTTTTCAGTTTCATGGGAGGGAGTTTCATAGATAGGGAAATAATTGATAATATATGCAATATGGTTTATGTTCAATTTGGTGTGTCTTGAAAAGTAGACAATGTGTATTTTTGCATGTTTACACAGAGCTTAAATTTGTAATCTTTGCATTTACCTGGTTTCAAATGATCTAGGTTTGCTAAACATGCACAGTTGATCATACCAACCATCAAAAAATTTTTGAGTTGTCAAGAGTCCTTTAAAGCAGATTGTTTTCGATCTTCCATTCCAGGGAAAAAAATCATTTTTCCCCTAGTATTGTTGACAGGCATTGTGAAGTGTGGTTTTTTTTTTTGCACAATAGTGGTTTTCACTCAGCTTTGATTTTGTTTGCACATTAAATACAAGGCATGCAAATTCTACCCAGTTAGCCTGCTGAGTACAATTGCATTACCAGGTTAAAATTTTTTCAAAGTTTAATTGTCTTCCATTTGTATAAAAAATGAATGAAAATACAAAGGAAAAATGAAGATATTTATATTTGAAAGGAGAATTTCCAAAATGTATTGACCACTTTCAAAAATGGCTGCCGGATTAATATTCTTTTGTCTAAATTTAAATTAGCCTTTCTGGCCTCGCTTGAGATAATGTATTCTTTTGAATTTTGTACTGGAGAACGAGGCCAGAAAGGCTAATTTAAATTTAAACAAAAGAATATTAATCCGGCAGCCATTTATGAAAGTGGTCTATCCAGCTGGACATTCACTTTGATAAAGTGTTTTGCAGTTGTTGTGAAGTAATAGAGGAACTGATGGAAAGTTTATAATAAACTTATAAATTAGGTACATGCATACAGAGACCTTTCAGGTATGATAAAGATTTTATAATAATTTTCCTCTGGGCTTATCAGATACTTTTACACTCCTGGCTTAAAGTTTCCTGAATTTACGTGCATGTTATGTTTCATCAGTTTCAATATCAACCTTCCTGCCAGAGCCACGTTACAAAGGAGGGGGGGAAGGAGTATTTTTGTCAATTATTTTTGGGTGTGTGCTGTTGGCCTCTCAGGACCTCTGCTCCATTTTAGTCTATTCTGTGGCTAATTATAGACTCCATCTTATTCACTTTTGAGCCACAAATCTTCTCAATTTTAAAATTTCTTCTTACCAGAATTTTCTTATCTCACTTTCTCTCCCATGCAACCCAATGGTATTAACTCTAATGAAAATGCAACCCCAATATAGTAAATCCAGTCATCAAAAACATGTGCTCCTGACCACACCCCAGGAGCACATCCATATTAGTCAATTACTAAGGAGTAACCTTACCCCCTTCCCCCCCTACGGCTATGTTCACAGTTAATTATATGTTAACTTGAACATCCCTCAGTAGTGATACAGTCTGTATAATGTCAACATCACTAGTTATTCCTCACTGAATCCATGTACTTGTCTTAGATTGAGCAGTTCAGACCTTAACAAGTCTTTCAAGTCAGCAGGCTTCTGACAATTTTTGGTTTCTTTAGTAAAAAGTGACTACAAGTCTCGCTGCTCTACGCAAATGAGACATTGTGGCTATCAAAATTTTTGATTTTGCACCCCAGCATCAGAATACATACTCTCCATACTGTTCTCTATACATTTCTTGAGGTGCTGACAAGGAGAATTTGTTGAACAATCAAGAGCTTCTTTAGTTAGTGATCATTTCCTTTATTCTCCTGACCTTAATGTGTGATTCAGGGGTGATAATGTAAGGAGAGATTAGATTCTAGTCACTTTCAGATGAATGTGAAAGCCTCAATACTTGTTCATCCTTCTGTTTTGCATAACCACATTTTCATTTAGGTCAATTTTTTGGTAAATGAAATGATTTGAACTGATAAGCTAATTGCTTGAAATCCTTTAAGGGGCTGAAATTTAATTTGAATTCCTGCATTATCATTCTGTAAAATATTGCAACCATTGTGGCTAAATTTTTCCCTCCTCATGGACATAAGAAGGGTTTTTTTTTTTTTTTTTTTTTTTTTTTTTGATGGTGGAACTAAGAACGAGGTCCCCCACCAGCATATGACTGGCAATTTCATTGGATGTTCGTACTTTTGGTGGGACGAAAGGATGTGCACTAAGACCCTCTTCCGTGCCACACCCCTTTCTCACCTGATATAAACAAACACGACAATTTCCATCACGATTTGAGTCGAAAATGTAAAACAAAATAGAAAGACGACTCGTTTTAAGAAATAAAAATAAAACTGCCTGATTCCTGTCGGTGTAGCCCGCTGACCACACTAATATTACCTTCACTTCCGGGTGCCTTTGGTCTCGAAACATTCTCAACAATTTCGTACGCATCGTACGCATCAGAAGTATTTCGGGTAAAGTTTATTTCTGATATGTCCAATTTCAGCATAAGTATAGAAAATTGTCCGCATCTAGTTGTCAGCGATCAAGCCACCGTGCACATTGCGTCAAATAAAGGTAAGATAACTAACCAGCCGCTGGTTTCCGCCTTGTAAGATCGATGTTACTCAAGGTTATTTACATTATTGCTTTTTGCGTTTGCTGAATTATACCCCTATGAAGAATTTTTGAAAATTTGCAAATTTTCCTAAGGAGTTTTTCCCTGAGTCAGATGTGGCGAAAAATATTGTAAATGTAGCGCAGATTTTTTTCCCGCGTATGCCGATTAAAAATGCCAAATTTTGAAATCGAAATTATCTATCCCTCAAAAAATTAAGGTAATAATACAGGGGTGTGTTAAAGGTACGCGTTGTTATAGTTCAAATTATTTCTTTAAAATTTATCGTATGCATTTATCATTCTTGACCTTACATCTAAGTTGGAACAATACTTTTTCACTTTTATTGTCAAGGGACGCCAATAAGCGCAACTGAAAGTAGAAAGCGCCTTTTTCCATTTCTAAAAATAGCCCATTTTATTACCCTGGGTGCTTCACCGATTGAACATGGAAAGGCTCGGCGGTGGCTATGCAAAGTCACCTCATCCGTCCAGCAGCAAGTAATTTGGGACAGGGGTGGGGTACTCCCATATCATTTTTGGAAAGGAGTAAAGCGCTTACCAACAGACTCGCGCAACATTTAATTCTTATCAATAAAGGCTGATAGTTTCTAAAGAAAGTGTTTGGGGCTGCGTCGGTGGGGGTAACAAAATAATTTGAATATATCAACAAAGTTGAAATGGTAAATTGGCCATCGTTACGATTATTAAAGCTGACGTTTCGAGCGTTAGCCCTTGGCTCCGACGAAGGGCTAACGCTCGAAACG